GCTCGGGTTGGCCTCGGCAGCTGGAGCTGGAGGGTCGTTGCTTGTGGTCACGCCTTCGATCGGCGCACTGTCTTTCGGAGCAGCGCCAGCGGCCGCAAAGGCGCACATCATAGCAAGCAAGGGAATCTGCATCGTAGTGTTGATGTCGGAGGCAATTGAAATCTGACATCGTGGATGATAAGGCTCCGCTCAAGTGGTAAGAAACCATCAGTAAAAGGGAATATCCTTGCCGGTCAACGTCTGCACTGCACCAGTACTATTCCCAGCTGATGTGTTCTTACCACTTTAGCACTGATAGCTTCGTAAACCAACGACCGACCCGGTTTTGCGCGCGTGGCTGACGCATCTTCCATCACAGCTTGTCGGATGCATTTTGCAGAAGGTATATCGAATCCTTGCGGCTACGCATGACCAGGAGCATCCCTGGTGCAAGCTCTGCGCTGTGCTATTGTGCAACCCGTCGATGGCGCCGACAGTATCTTTGGCTCGGTAAACCGCGTCAAAGTCTGTGTTTCTGCACTCGTTTTGAGAAAATACACAATTGAGTTTCAATCTGTTGAGATTGAATTTGAGGGAGGATTTCAAAATCCAAAACGATCCACCATGAGCAGCAGCAGCAAGCGCCAAGCCGCGGCCTTCTCGACGGTCCTGGACCTCGACCACGTCCTTGCGACCATCGCCAAGTGCATCCCTGCTGCCAAGGACGTCAAGACCTTCCTCGCTGCGCTTCCGGCCGCGACGCAGCGTCCCGCTGGCCGCGCTCCACGAGCTCCTGCAAGCTGCGCAGCACCACGTTCTGGCAACGGAGCCAAAGCCTCTGGATGCACTCTGGCCTCGGCTTCGCCTCGATGTGATCACGCCTGCAGCCACCGGTCTGGTGCGCGACGCGATACCGGTCTTTCCCGCCGCCAGCGCTGGGACCATGGATGCTGCTCGACCAAGTGATCTCGACGCCGTCGAGTGGCTTCGTCTGTGGAGCGCCAAGATCACGCACTATAAGCACGTTGAAGGCGTCGCACCCTTTGACTACCCGCACCTCTGCGACCTCTGCGATGTGCTGCGTGAGTGTACGAAACTCATCGCCGTCGACGTCAGAGAGGCGAGCGATGCCGAAATGATCCTGGAGGCCGTCACAACGCCCGCGCACCGCGTCCACTCGATCAGCGTCGATTGCTATATCTTTGACTTCGACTTCGCGACTCTGGACTGTTGGTTATCGCCGGGCCACGCAGAGCACTTGACCTTTTCGTTCTATGCGATCGACGATGAGGTGAACCCAGCGCTTGTTCCGATGCTTCTCAAGACCACGGCGCTCTCAAGTCTCGAGCTTTGCCTCTCCGGGGCCGGTTTCCTTGCGCCGCTCGTCGCCGTCGCGCCCTCATTCTCTCGTTTGACAAGCTTGCGCATCTTGACGCACCGAGACGACATGCCAGTGTTGGTGCACTTTCTGCTGCACCTCAACGTCACGAAGCTTTGCACGCTCAGCCTCGAATGCGACAGCGACGACTTCAACAGTCTTCTTCCCGCGCTGTCAACACTTCCAGCGCTGGAACGCCTGGAACTGATTGAAGGCTTCCTCAATAGGCCGTCGCCAACGGCTGTGATGCTCCCCTCGACGCTTCGGTGCGTCACGTTTGTCCGCATGATGTGTACCTCGACCATGTGGAATTTGTTTGCGGCCAGCATCTTCCAACTACGCATCCTCGACGAGCTCGCGTGGATCAAGTGCTCGGTTTTCCGTCCTTCGATTGCAACGGTCCCAATCTCGGTCGATGCAGTGCCCGACTGGATTCATCGCGGCGGCACCATTAACGACACGGCTGCCATGGCGCTGGCGACTGCTCTTCCGCGTACGACGAGCCATTTCGGTACGATCCTCACTCTCAGTGGCGCTCCGCTGTCGGTACACAGCTACTTGACCCTGGGCGAAGCACTTGCGTCGTGCCACGGCGTCTCCATTGTACTGCCGTACTTTGACAGCGAGACGTTTGAAACCGAGGCCGGGAAGCGCCACATCCGGTACCGCTACGAGCACACCAAGACACTCGTGCTCGAGAGCCCGACCACTTCTCCATGAAAACGACCCTTGGCCCCATTGTGCCTTGGCCCCACACAGACGGCTTCAATCACAGATTTCATTTATTTACTTTACTTTCTTCTCTTTTGCTCGAATGGTCCTAGTGCGAGGTGTAGAGCCGTGTTGTCATTGTTGGGGAAAGGGGTGGTACATAGAATAGCGTTGTGCGAGAGATAGCCCAGCTGCAACACACGTGGTCAACGCTATTCATTACCAAGAACCAGTCGAGCAGCTCCAAGAAGATCACTTGAGTCTGAACGCCGGTTCGCAAAGTAGGACGGCGCAATTGCGCAGCTCAAAACGTGGGTCAAATGTCTCGGGACTAAGACTCACGCTGCCCAATCCTCTCCATTGATACGCTAGTACACTGCTCGCCATCGGTATAGGACACCCCTATGTGGTAAGAAAATTGTTGGACAATATTAAATATTATCTATAAATAATGAGAGGTTGCGATAAAACATGCATGTCCGATCCTACTCACTAAATTTCAGGCATGGTGCGCTAGAAATGACGACATAGCGTCAAAGAAAGTGAAATCGCTGCGTTTTTTGGCGCGTCAAATTTTAAAGACAGCCAAGGATATCGTCACTTTTCTTCTCTTCCGCAACCTTTCAGGCAAAGGTAAATTGTCGAACTATATATTATACAACCTGTTACCATTTGCGATGGCG